TTAATTTATTTTTTTTTTGTTTAAGGAAAGCTTCTAAGTTAAGATTAGGGTTAAAGATTTCGTTCAACTATTTTGAGAGTTTACAAAAAACTTGAAGCTAATAATAACAGCAAAAGAACCTCCACAAGCTATCACTGTCAGCTTTTCCGCTACTGCCATTTAGACTACTTTGAAGTACGCCGAAAATAGAGGGGGACTCTTGTCATAATCCGCGTTAAACAAAAGAAAGAATAATGAAATTAAGCCAAAAAAATTTCAATAAAAGGCGAAATATCATATGCTGCCGGAGGCGTGTGCACAGTTTCCGCAAAAGCCTGCTTCCTTTTATCGCCTCGCTCGTACGTTCGCTGATCCTGCTGGTGCCATTGATCCTTGCTGCCTTGGTTTGTGTTATTCTTTGTTCTATATATGTACATAGTACATATGTATATCCCCATTTACTTAACTACATGTTGTATTTATGATTACGGCTAATCATACGGTCCACATTGGTCCAGCCACTCAGCCGCATTCGGCCTTTGTCGGAGTTTTCGTGCCACTAAGACGTATCGAATTTCAACGCGGGCAATTGACTGTGCCTTTCCTAACAATGCATTGTAATCTATACTCCGCTGGCTTTGTAAGGTGATCACAGTTGTAGTTGTGCTGAGATTTCTAGCGGTACTCATATTGTCCTACAAATGTAAACGATATATTTCAATTTCACTTTTGCTTTTATCGTTGATGGCGATCTTGTGCGAGACAAACATTGTTTAACATTTGGTTGAATGAGTTGGAGATTGCAAACAGGGAGCTCAATTCGAGATTTTTTTACTTGCTTTTTGTTGCTCAAAAGCAAAGTTAATGGCAAATTTAATATTTAAGAGTTTGTCCGAAATATGCTTTTGAGCTTTCTGTTAGAAATAAAATGTGAGTTGGAGCTTTAATTGTTTGAAATAAGCTTTTGAGCTTTCTGTTAGAAATATAACGTGATTTGGAGCTTTAATTTCTTAGCTAAAGCTTTTTGATACGGAATGTTGATTTCTTAGGTTTTAAATATACATATTTGCTATCTAATTCAGCTTCGAGAGCTACCACATTTGCTTCGAAAGCTCTTATTGAAGTTTACTAACGTAAATGATACATGAAAAATATATTAATTGGTTTTTCAAGAGGTTTATAGCATTTTGAAATTATGGATTCATTTCTTTTTGAGCTTGGGAAGCTTTTCAATTATTTTTGAAAGCTTTTTAAAGCTTATAAAAAAAGTATTTTTTTTTTACATCTTTGAAGGTAATACATAATATAATTTTAGTAATAAGTAACAAAATTTCATGCAGTAGAATTAAATTTGCACTTGATCTTTCAAAAGCTTTCAATACTTCTTTCGAAGCTTTGTTAGCAGCGAATACAACTTTCCACGAAAAGCTTAGCATATGCATATTGAAATTATTTATTTCAACTTAAAATTATTATAATATCTTTTTGTGGTTTACAGAGCTTTTTGTTTATGCTGAACGGTTTGTGTAGCTTTTTTCTACATACATACATATATGCAATTTGTTAGTTAGAGGTTCAGCTCTGCAAAAAATATGTATAGTAAACTAAATAAAACTTGCTTTCAAGTTAGATTTCGAATGTTGCGTTAAGCTTTGGAAGCTTTTAAGTTATATACCATACATCAAATATTGCAAGAGAGCAAGAGTATTAAAATATATGTTTTGATCCTATAGAGAATTGATTAAATTGCAATTGTAGAATTTGTAATTTACCTTAAAAAGCTCATTTCTGGAAGCATACTTTCTAAAGTATTTTTTAGAGGCGCTTTCAAATAATTAAGGTCTCGATTTTGAGCTTTGGAGGAATTAACAGATTTAAAAATGTTAAATGTTAAAGCTTTTTTAATTTAAGCTCATAAAAGCTAAACTATAAGGACTTTCAAGCCCAACTTTGGTTACAAATGCTCAGGTAAAAGCTTGTTTTTTATTAGATTATTTTTATTATCTCACAAAAGAGCCTATGAAAGCTTTCATATTTTTGTGAAGATTCTGTGAGGCGTTCAGCGATTTTTCTTCGCTTTTTTTTTTTTGTTGGGCTCATGAGGTATAAAAATATCAATTTTGGAGCTTTCACAGAGCTTCAAAATACAGATACTTTGTGCATTACACAAGGCTTAAAAGCTTGTTGCGAATTTTTTCTTCTTTTTCTGTCCTTAGTTTCTCTGTTCTCATTTATATCAGCCTCATCCTCTGAGCGAAATATTTTTTTCTACTTTCCTAAGAAATTCACAATTTATAGCTTCATTTCATTTCCGCATAACCCGAGTGTTTCTCCGCCTACCAAAACCTACTTTACATTCTCGCCATCTTTTCCACGTTGCATGCAACCGTTCCATCTCCGAGCTAAGTGTTTTTCAAGCAGCGTGTAGAAGTCAACATGGAAAGCGATGAGATTTCACATTTTAATTACTGCAAAAATACTTGAACAACTACGAGATACACCCACACACACACACACATACACGCACACATACCAACATTCGTGGGTGGCAAGAGCGCTAAGTGACTCGCTGACTGCTCGAGTGCCAGTGACGTTGCTTGCCAAATGTGTGAGTGCTTGTGTGTGTGCTTATGAGTGTATAGGGGCCAGCGGGAGGGGTTTAACGTCAAGTGGCATGTGGCTGACGCAAATTAATCCGCCTGTTGCCTGTTAAAATGCAAATGCAAATACAAACCGTCGTTGCTCGTGCAAAGATAAAATCTCCCGAGAGGGAAAGAGTGAGCTTGAGTAAGCGATAAGCTGTAGGTGGGGTACAATGACCCCTTTCTAATGCTGCTGGGCGAAGAAAATTGAATACGGCACACTTGTAATGGAGATTGGGTCCCGTTAGCCTGGCACTTGACAGCAAAGCAGGTGGGTGGTCGTGTCTGTTCGGTGTGTTTGTTGGCAGGCACTTCGGCCATTTGCAAACGTCAGGCGAATCGCAAAAAAATAATTGTGTATGTGTGTAGAGCTCCACTCGAAGCTTTGACATTGATAGGTAGGTGGGTCCTTGCTGAGTTGGCATCGTGTGGGGATGCCGCTTGGCAAATGTACGTGTGCTTGGCGGGCGGTCGGTTGGTTCTAGTGAGTGTCGTTGTGTTGTTGGGTGCGCGCTGGCTGTGGTTGATTCGAAGATGACGACTCAATGCGGCTGGATAAGCTGCATTTGAAGTCTCAATTACGCGACCAAATCAAAATCAAAATGGAGAATATAAAAAGCGTTGGAGGAACAAATGGTTGAGGAGTAATCAAAATGGCGCATGCGGCACAGTGGCGCAATATTATTTTGAAGTACACACATACAAAACGGAAGACTTTCAGTCTTTTTAGAGGTCAAAGGCAGCCCGA